CCCAAGGGGTGACCCACAGCCTCCTGGCTGCTCCCCTCAGCTCAGGTATAAACCATCCAATCTGCCTCCTGAGGGATACTTCTAGAAGGAAATCTGACCATGCTGCTGCCCAATTTCGCCTCCTACTCTGGCTGCCCCCAACCCTAGAATGAAGTGTGAACTCCTAGGCGTGGCCCACAGTGCTTTGTGTGAGTTGTGAGTCTCTCCCCGTCCTCCCCATGCCTTTGAGCAAGTGTCAGCTGTGCTCCCTCTGCCAAGAGCATCTGTCCCACTCTCATCTGCTCGGCGAACTCATCTGTCCAGGCGAAGCTCAGATGGCATTTGTTTCCAACCTTGTACTGATCTCCTGTCCTCCTGTTTTGTTCCCTCTCTTCCCTGTATGTATTTGTGCCATTACAACTACAATACCAATGGAACTTAGGTGTCTACACATCTGTTTCCCTATCTGGGAAGGTGAGCTCCTTGTTGGCAAGACCCAGGTCTTATACACCGAGGTTCTGATCCCAGGGCCCAGTGCCTAGTAATGGTTCCATAAGTGTTGTTTGTTTTCTGAAGGAACAAAGGAACAGACAAGTCCTCCTGACCTGATCTCATGTTCTCAGAAAGTAGACAGGAAGTCCCCGGGATGCTGGGCCATGTTGAGGAGATTGGGCTGAATCGAAGGGAGCTGGGGTTTTCAGCCTTCCAAGGGGCCTTGGTATCTTCTGAAGGAGACGAAGCTGACCCCAGGCACACATCGCCACCCTGCACCCCAGGGAGGTGGACATCAGGATAAGCTGTGTCACAACGTGGGCTAGCTTGGTGAACTAGGACTATTTTAACCAAGATGTGACTTTAGAGTTAGTGAAAAAAGAAACCCATCGGATTTAAAGCCAGCAGACTGGGGCTTGAGCCTGGCTTCTAGAATGTGTTAAATGTATGATTTCAGACAGTCGTGCGACATCTCTGAGCTTTGGTTTCTTCAGCTCAGAACCAGAAATGAAAAGTGTTGCTCACCTACTCCCTGGGGTTGCTCCGAGGCCGAAACGAGACTCTACGCACAATCTGTTTGCACTTGGATGGTGCTGAGGAAGCACCCCTGTCCCTTTACGCAGGGTCCTGCGTGACACCTCTTTGAGCTTCTGCCTCAGTCCTCATCGGAGATGTCAAGCTTAGCACAAAGCAGCTGGGAAGCTTCAGCGGAGAAGGAAGGCGTCGCTTAGACATCTGCACAGGCAGTTTTTAAACACAGGGAACATGGAGGAAATACCACAGAATTTATGGAGTGAAAGCTTTAAAAGGAAACACAAGACTGAAGTCAAAACAGTTGACTCAACTGGGGGAGATATCTGCCTGGATGTAGGAGGGGGAAGAGCAGATAGACTTGGAAAGGGTAGAGACGGAGGGGAAAGCTCTGTGGGGCGTCCTACCCAAGGGGGCAAACGGGCTCTTCCTACGCAGCTCAGGGAAGGGAAGTCGATCCCACCTGTACGCCGGGAGCACCCCCAGCATTTTTGAAACGCATGTCTTTGGACCCAGCAGGTCTACTAAAGAATGTTGCTGGGATATCTTCACTCAAGGGCACCCACTGCAGCCTCATCTGAAGTTGGGAAAACTTGGAAACAACTCGAATGCCACACAACAGAGAATGGGTTACATGAATTGCAACGTGTCCCTACAGTGGAGTCCTAAGTAGCAAATGGTGTATGTCTCTAAATATGAACATGGCAAAATAGTCATGACGCAGTCAGTGAGAAAGACCAGTTGCAGAATGGCATGGCTGTGATGATCTTGTTTCCATAAAAACTAAAAATATACCTATGTGTGTATATGCATAGAAAAAGCTATGAGAGGATATATACTGATTTGTTAACAGAGTTTGTCTGTGGGAGTTGGGATTATAAGATATTTTCTATCCACTTCTGCAGAGTTGATTGCTTTTAGTAGATATATTGTTCAAAGAAAAATGTCCAGAAAATAGTAAAGGCCTAATGCTTAGTTAAGGGAAATATCATGGCAACCGTTTGCCCTTCATTCTGGAAAAACCTTAGCCAGGCTGTCTCTGTGTTGCATCACAGACATCAAAATTGTCATACATTCTTAATCACATTCCTCTCCTGATGAAAATCCTTAATATCTCTCATTTCTGACCCTTCCACTCCAACCTGGTTAATTTCCTGTCCACAATTCACAGAGTGTTATCTCTGCTCTGTGGCGGCCACGGAAAGGGTGTTGTAATCTCTCTGTGGCATTTACGGCTTCTACAAATCACAGATCACATAGGAAGTGCTCCAAGAGCATTAGTCAGAGGAATGAACGCGTGAACTCAGTGCCCCTGGGGGAGATGGCAGCCCCTCAAGAAAGCCAGACGTCTCTGAGCTGGCTGCCCATGATCAGGATGGGACCTGCGCCAGACGCACGGCGCCACGTCCACAGGTGGACGTAAAGGGAACGTTCTCAGTAAAGAGCCTGGGGGGATTCAGAGACCTGGATTCTGTCACTAGACATCTGCAGGACCTCGTCACTTTCCCTTTCTGGTTTTCTGTTTCCTCCTCTGGAAATAAGAGCTAGGCTTGATCAACATTTCTCAAAGCACATTCCTTAGAACACTCCATCCGGGATATGTCAATAAATGTCCCCGAAGAAGGATCCTGCGGTCAGATACACTTGGGAAATGTGGCTCTCTGTGTCCCACTCTTGGAGATTCCCAAGGCACATTAGCAGGTTAGAGCCTCTTACTGACGCCTACACCAGCAGTTGTCGTGTTTATTTCACTTTGGCATCCTTTAAGATGTTTCTCCTGAGCGTCTGTGTGATACATATACTGAATTAAGTCATATCCAAGGTCGATTCTCACTCCCTGAATCCGTGGCCATGGTGGGCTTGCTGCTCCCTCCCTGTCCTCTTGCTGTCACCTGGCATGTGTTGCTGTGGCTGAACGCGGAGTATTTCAGATGGCCCCTGTGGAGAGCAGCTCTGCTTTGCGAGAGAGAATGCACAGATGCGTTAATGTTGCGGCACAGGAGCTGATTGAGTGGGATGAAGGGGAGGTCAAACATGGTGATGGAGGGGAAGTCTAAGAGGACTGGGCTGCAGCCGGGGACACTTGGCTCCAGATGGGGGACCTGAAGTAGGAATGCATGATGGGGAGGCAGGACCAATGGTCAGGGAGAAAGGCAGGTGCTTGGGAGGTACTCGGCATATTATTTGTGGCTGTAACTCATCTATTCCTCTGGATCTAAATGCCAAATTTATGTTGATGACTTCCACGTTTGAATACAATCTTGTGATGAAGGGAACGGGCATTCGAGTCATATAGCCCAGGCCTCACTTTCTTCTTCTGTAAAATGGGCTTAATTGCAAGCCTAATCCTAGGCTTGTTTATGAGGATTCAATGAGTTGACCCCTAAGAAAGCTCTCAGAATAGTAGCTGAAACACAGTAAGGTCTCCATAAATGTTATTATCGTTATTAATTATTATTATTTCCTCTCTGACTTGACAGCTCCACTCAGATGTCTCCCAGGCATCTCAGGCTTAATGGGACCAGAGCAGAATTCTCGCTTTTCCCAGCGACACCCCATCTTCCCCCAGCCTTTCCCGTCTCAGTAAACGGCACCCTGAGCAGCTGTGCTCAAGTCGGCAATCTTGGAGTTAGAGGTTTCCCTTTCCCCTTCCCTTTCACATGCAACCCACCAGGAGATTCCACAGAGTCCACCCGCCAGGTGTATTTCAGATCCATCTTCTTCTTCCCACCCCCATCCCTGCTCTAGCCCAAGCGTCCTCATCGCTGGGTGAAGGTGGGAGTCGAGGCTTCTACGCACCCACTCTGCTTTTCCTCGCTCCCTTCCGGGGAGTTCTGCGCCTGCCTCCAGAGTGATGGTAACCAACGTAAATGCAGCCATCCTGGAATCCTGCAGTGACACAGAACACGAAGCCCAGGCTTTCCACGTGGCTCTGGGCCCCGCCGGTGTCTGCTCCTCTGCCCAGCTGTCCCTTTGAGCTCCAGCAGCCTGGCCTCTTCGCAGTGCCTGCCACACGTGAAGTCCTTTCCTGCCGTAGGGCTTCATCCGTGTCACTCTTTCTGCCCAGAAGGCTTTGCCTATGGCTCTTTATGGGATGAACTTGTCCACCGACACGTCTCCACTTGGACTGTCCTCTTCAGACGGACTCCCCGCGTCACGCTCTTTGGGGATCATCCAGCTGAGTCCGGTCACAGCCCCACCTGTACGGGCTGCCCTGCACCTTGCTCAGCTGACGCCCTCTGCACAGGTCTGCCTGCTGACTGTCCTTCTTGCTCCGGGGAAAATTCCCCAGAGTCTGGGCCCAGCACTGTCTGTACATTCGGCACAGAGCCTGGCCCCGTGCATGTCGGACAAAGGGATGAATGTCACGGTGAATGTTCCCTCTCTGCCACACCCTTCCCATTACTAAAGGTGCAATATGCTGACTAACGAGCAAAAAATGATTCAGGCTGCTTCAGTCGGGGAAGCGCAGAGCAGGAACAAAGGGTGGCACAGGAGCCTCGGATGGTTAAGAAACTCTCCAACGTGTGGTAAGAGCACCGACCTGGGGCCAGATCTTTGGTTTGCTCCACTAGGAGCAAACTTGGTCCCTAAGAAGGGTCAGGGGACCCAGGAACTAGTGGACTTTGTGGGCTGGCTGTCCCTAAAGCAGCCAGCATTGTTCATCAGGCCCATGTCTGGCCCTGAAATTTTCTGGGACATTCAGAGTCTCTTGGCCCAAACGGTCACTTAATTATGAAATTTAAAAATTCTCTCTCTCTGTCTGGATATACATATAGGTGCACAGGCTGGAGGAGAGTCCTTCTCTGAGGGCTACTCGTCAGAGTAGAAGTCTACGGCTGCAACCATTGTGTTTCTCAGCAGCGCGGGGGCCAGTCTGCCATTGCTTCCCAGGAAAGCTAACGTAAATGTTTATTGCCAGTACAGTCATCAAGAAAATAAAGTTGCTGATTCATCGCCTTACCCCGAAACCCTGTGTTTTGCCCTCCTCTTCCTTCCTCTTTAAAAGGAGACACTCTGAGAAAGAGCACATTTGGGGGACCCACTGGTGCGATGTTTTCTTGGTGGCCTATTCCTTCCTCTACCTGCTGATCGCCGTTCCTGTGACGGCGGAGGGCGCAGCCTCCTTCTTTCAGCTGGACGACCCCCGCTCTGGGGTCTCATAGAAGCAATGGAAGCCTTGGAGTCTCTAAAATTGGAAACGAGTGTCCCCATGGTGACAGTGGCCCTGTCAGTGATGCTCTTGGCCCTCCTGAAATGGTGAGTGTAGCCAGCCCTGGGACTGTGACACTGTCAGCAGTGGCAGTCCTGGAGCCTTGCTGGTGCCAGGGTGGGGTGGGTATGTGGGTGTGTGTTATTCTTCTTTTCCAATCTAGAAGGAGTTGAGTATTAACATAGCTTCAGAATTAAAAGCAAACAGCCAGGTTAATCTTTTGCTAAAATGCATGAGATTGAAGTGTCAGGAAAGGCTGGTGATTGAGTGACTGAGAACGCTTCACATAATTAAGTTTGAAAGAGATGGAAAAAGAAACAAATTGGAAAGGCATTAGATTTGGGTAGAAGTATTTCCTCATACCCCGTCATATCTTCTCACCTCGTTTTTCTGAAATCCTCTCCCTTTGTTGGATTTACAGCGAACTCGGCCTCTTGGTTCATATTACATTAAAAACCACACGAGACGTAGGAGCTGTTTGGCAAACGTGGGCTACTTTGCCAGAAGTCCTTGACAGGGATTTCTGTGGGTTTAAGGACAAAGCGGGAGACCTGATTTCCTAATTTTCTAATATTTGATAGAAGGGAACAGATTCTGATGAATGGAGTGCATGCAGCTCCCATAAAGTTTGAGATCCTGGAAAAGCCTCAGATTTGAACTCCGAGTCGCTCCCCTGTGCTTTTGTTAATTCAACAGCAGATTTTCCTAAGCCTAACGCTGTGGTGTCTACAGACCGGAGGCCTCACACTATGTTACGTGTATGCACATTCACCCTTCCCGTCAAACTTCTTAGAGTTACCCACTCAACCAAAAGCACCTGGATTTAGATGGCTCTGGTTTTTGAGGGCAAAGTGGAAAAAATAATTCAGAACTAGAGTTGGAACGGAATTTTAATTTATGTTTTCAGTGGTAATAAGCCTCCTCTAGATTAATAACTGGGAAATCACTTTGAAAAGCATCAAGCATTATGCAAATGTGAGGTATTATTCTTTTGGAATTTGCATAGCTGAAAGTGGAATTCACATTTGATGTTCTGTGATGATGAAATTACTCCTTGGAAATTGGCTCTGAAACCCAGCCTCAGTCCCAGTACTGTTTTGCTTTTTAACTGGTTTAGTTATGTTTTGGAGTTTTCTCAGTGTAGCTTACCTTGCACTGAAACTAGGCATGTGCAAAACCAGGAGCAAATGGTAGCCCCCCTTTCCCCCAGCCCCAACAATCCATCTCAACGTGTTTCTGTGCTCAGTGAAGCCCAAAACACAGTGTCTGACATGCAGATGGTGCTTAATAGATGTTGGCCGCTATAATTAACTATCATCCATGTAACCTAAAAGAAGAGGAAAATAAGTCTTTAGTGGTTTAGGTTTATTTTTAATTTCTTACTAATATGCATATTAATATTAATCTCATCAGTAGCTATGCTCTGTGGTTCTCAAAGTATGTGCCTTTGTACACTTTTGTTCCTGTCTTTATTGTGCCTTTGTTGTGTCTGGACTCCCAGCTCGGTGCCTGACACATAGTATGGGCTCAATTACTGTTTGATGAATGAATGGGCAGCAACGTGGCACCATTCAGCAAGGCAGCTGTGCATTTGCCATCTATTCTCGCAGCCTTATTAATAACCTGGTTCAAAGACGCAGAGATTAAGGCAGAGGCATGAAGCAGAGTGGGTAAATAGGAAGTGAGAGCCGACTCCAACTTGTTATTGCAAAAATATGTATTGCCCTGTTGATGTGTGCCGGCCTGGTGGGCGGCCCTTGTGCAAGGTCAGGGAGCAGGAGGTCTGGATCGGGTGCCCAGGCAGGGAAGACACGGAGGTTCTGGGGTTGAGCTCAGCGACTGCAGGGGGTGATGCGGGAGGGGAAGAAGCAGCAGGAGAGGGTGGCCGTGGCCATGGCCGTGGCTCTAGTGCTTGTGGGTCAGCCCTTGCTCCAGCGCCAAGGAAGCATCCTTGGGCTCGAGACCCTCCTCTTCCAGGCGAGGTTCTAGGCAGCCACTAGCAGCAGACACCGCGTGATTGAGGCGAGGCCTCCCTCCCACCTCCCCCCAGCTCCGTTCTCCTGAGAGGACACATGCGGAGGAGAGAGGGCTGCCTTTCCTCCAGCAAGAGGACTTGCAGGCAAGGAGAGCCGGAGGTGAGGAGACGCCCACGGCCATCTTGTCCCCGAGGAAACATGCAGCGGGTGGAGTGGTCTAAACACTGGGGCACCTCCGTCCTTCAAGAGTTACACCCGCCATTGGGCCAGGAGCTGGCAGGGGAGAGCCTAAATCCGAGGAGGTGCAATCGCAGGGGACACCAAAGTTGCTTCTTGTCCCCTTGACCAGCCTGTGAGTGCTGTAGGGGCAAGGGCAAGGTTGCCTGTGTTGTTACAATTCCGGAAACTTCTGTCCGTGGCACAGATACTCTACTAGCCTTTGGTTGAAAGAAGTTGAGTTAAGAAGTCCTCACCTGCCAGCTGGCATCTAGGCCTCTCCGTCTGGCCCCACGGCCCCTCTGTGCCCCACTTCCTGCGCTGGGTCGTGCTGAGCTGTCCGCAGTGCTGTGATGGTCACGTTGCTGCCTGCTTGTGGCCTCCTCTTCCCCCAACGCCGAGCGCAGGGGCGTCTCCTCAGGGAGCGGTCCCTGTTTCTGCAGGCCCGGACAAGCCCTTCTCAGTGCCGCTTTCCTAGCAGATCCTTTGTCCCGTCTTTTTTTCTCACAATGCCTCGCGCACAGTTGGCATCTAATAAATGCTGGCTGAAGGCTAATTCCAGCCTCCAGTCTCTGCCTGGTGTTTTCTTCCTCTGGTCCTTCTCTTGGCCTTCACAGTTCGACACAAATCTTAGTTCTCTCACCCACATGAATCATCCCTTCCTGGAGCGAAGTGGCATGCCAGTTTGTTTCTGGGTCGTCCCAACTTGCTCCCACTTTCCAAATTGTTGCACAGGCCCCGTTTTTGTGTCCCTGCTCACCTGGTAGAGCAGAAACCATGACATGTGCTTAATAAACACTTCTTATTTATGAAATGTATGCATGAATGTGGAAAGAAGACCAAAAAGTTAATTTCATTTAAAAGGAGACTGGTTTAAACTAGGTGGAGTATATTTTGATAGTTTTCTGGAAACTGCATTCGACACCATTTTCCAAGGGTGACGATTAGATTGACGGGTCTGTGGCTGAGCAGTGGGCACCGGCTCCTGGGGCGCGGGGCTCTCCACCCGGCGGGGATGGAGCCAGGTGTGGACTGTGTTAGCTGGAAGTACATGAAGCACGTGCTAAGGTGATTAACACACGAGATAAAACATTCTAAAAACTCATTTTCTTATATGAAACGGTTTGAAATTCTTACTTCTGGAAGAGATTCGACGTACACGAAATAAGTCGTACCAGTTGAACGTTGCTTGAGGCAACCTTAAGTACTCGCGTATTTAATCTTTCAAGCGACACCTGAGAACTGGCAGATGGATTGCTGCGGGGAGGAGAAGTTTCTTTCTTTTTTAAGCAAGAGTGTAAGGAAATAGCCCAAACATTGATAGTGGGTTTCTTTCTGGGGTGGGGTCATGGGTGATTTTTTTTCTATTTTTAGTCTTTCTGCGTCTTTCATATTTCTTTAACGAGTGCGAACACTTAGCAAAAAAGAGAAATTTTGCTAAAAAGAATGGGAAATTGCTCCTTTCTAGCAGCGAAGAGGAAAGCAGCTTTGTGCTTCCGGCGTGGAGGTTTCGGGACTGTAGCGGAGTCGGATGCGGGGACGTGGAGTGGCGGGGGCTCTGTGGCGAGGGCGCGGTGGGGGAGGGGGCTGAGCAGCGGGAGCGGTGCACGAGTAAGGCTTAGTGCCGAGAGGTCTGAATCAATGCCACATTGAAAATAGGAATTCGGAGTTAGCAGTGTGCTAAGTCTCATTTCAACAGCAGCTTCAATTAAAATGTGATTGGTGATTATTAAGACTTAAGACTCTCACGGATTATTTTATTTATTTATTTTTTTTGAGACAGAGTCTCACTGTGTTGCCCGGGCTAGAGTGCCATGGTGTCAGCCTAGCTCACAGCAACCTCAAATTCCTGGGCTCAAGCGATCCTTCTGCCTCAGCCTCCTGAGTAGCTGGGACTACAGGCATGCGCCACTATGCCCGGCTAATTTTTTCTATATATTTTTAGTTGTCTGATTAATTTCATTCTATTTTTAGTAGAGACGGGGTCTCCCTCTTGCTCAGGCTGGTTTTGAACTCCTGAGCTCAAACAATCTGCCCGCCTTGGCCTCCCAGAGTGCTAGGATTACAGGTGTGAGCCACCGCGCCCGGCCCCTCTCGGATTATTAAGATTTCAGTCCACCACTATACCTAGAAGTTTCTTTCTCAGGGAGCTTGCTTTGCATGTAAGAGAACTGGATTCCAATTCTAGACCCACATCTACTCCCAGACCATATCTATTTATTTATTGTTTTTGTTTTGTGTGTTTTTGAGATGAGGTCTTGCTGCATTACCCAGGCTGGTCTCAAACTCCTGGGCTCAAGCGATCCTCTTGCCCCAGCCTCCCAAGCAGCTGGAACTGCAGGCGCGTACCACTGTGCCTGGCTCCAGACCATATTTAAAAGGATCCACTGGGATGGAATATGGGAGCCGAGATGGGAAACCTTGAGCTCGTCAGAGCAAGAAGCCATTTAGTGAGGCTCTGGAAAAGGCATCCAGGCTCCATGATGTGGGCACTGCGGAAAGAAGATCAATGTGCCCACCATTCCCCAAGTTCTGTTCTTAAAAGTGTTTGGGAAATTAAGTCTAAGTGGGGCCCTTCTTGGAGATGCATAGCACATCAAAGGCCTTGAAAGGTTCTTCAGTAAAGAAACCTGTTTAACTTTCTTTACCTCAGTGTTTCTCAAGCGCATTTGACACAGTCCTGCTGTGCACGGCTGGAGAGGGAAGGGCAACCAAGACCCGCTGGAACAGTTGCCTGGAGAGGGTGGTCGGACGCCTTGGTGGTCGGGCAGGGGCACAGCCTTGTGGACGTGGAGGGGTTGCTAAGCAGAGAAACAAAATGTTCCAATTACACCTTGGCAAGCCCTGAGGTTGCA